CAAACCATGAAAAATCAACTCGATGGTTTACCATTTTTTCTTGAGTATGGGGCCCGCGCGGTAGCTCCGCTAAAAATTTACATGAATAAAAACGTTAACATTATTATCAAAAAAATCCCCCTTTCCCCAACCCAGCCAAASATATATAATAAATAAATGAATGAAKAAARTAAAAATATTTAAACAAATAAAGAATAATCTAATTAAAATATGTCATCTTWTAAAAATACGACTTTAGTGCTGTCTTAAATCTAACAAGAGAAGAGATGTTGCGAACGTCCAATGGGAGCCCATTCCACAGTTTGGGAGAAGCAATGCAAAAAGATCTATCGCCAAGCGTCCTTAGAGACTTGCATGTGGGAATGTTTAATAAAATACCATTATTATTTGACCTAATACTATACCTCCCAGTATTACTCTTAATAGATATTAGATTAGAAATGTATGGTGGAGCAAGCCCATGGATAGCCTTGAAAATAATCAGTACTATCTTAAAATCAATGCGATATTTCATGGGTAACCAGTGAAGCGTACTAAGCAAAGGCGTGAATAATATGACAAAATTTGCTCTCTTGAAGGACAAGACGAGCAGCCGCGTTCTGAACCCTCTGCAGCTTTTGAAGCTGATAAGCTGGCAGGCCGTAAAAGAGACTATTACAATAATCTAAACGACTAGATATAAAAGCATGAGTTAAAGTCTTCGTGCAATCCCTACTCAGGTACTTTCTAATTCTTCTTATGTTGTATAAGTAATAAAATCCAGCAGAACATGTTTTCGTAATGTGAGCACTCATAGATATATTTGAATCTAACCACACGCCTAGATTGCGTACAGGCGGTTGCGGTCGACGATGTCACAGTCTCCTATAGTTAAACTATTAATACTAACTTTTGCACATTGCTGTTTGGTACCTAGCAAAAGAAGTTCGGTTTTAACATCGTTCATAAGTAGCTTGTTCTTACTAACATGCTTTAACAGAAATGTTAAAGAAATACATATTTAATGGCCATGAATTTGTTTTCTGCATTTCTCTGATGGTTTTGATTTTTTCCGAAGCTTTTCTTTGATCCCTTAGGTCACTTAGATATAGCTGCACTAGAGGAGGAATGTGCTGCTCTATCCAAGATCAATTTTGCTGCCTTGTTTTGCAGGACTTGCAATGCAACCATTAAGACTTTACTGATCTTAACATCCCAAACGATGTGGGATATTCAAGTATGGGTATGATCATTGCTAAAACGTAGATCTTTATGCAATGGATAGTGAGGAAACACGTGTTTTATCTCTTCAGGACCCCAAGCCTTAGCATCACTTTGCTCTTTATCGGATCGATATCACTATGCCATGTTATTGGGTTGATTTATAATCAAGCCAAGGTAATTGAATTCTGATACCTTCTCCCGACTATCATCGACCAGCCAAGTTGTAAATCATTACGTTTCAACTTAGAATTGCTACCAATGTCCGTGATTTTTGATTTTCCAATGTTCAGAGTCAACTTATTCTCATACAACCAAGTTGTAATAGCTTTCAAGTCTGAGTTTGGCTTTGGTTGCAATTCAGTAGCCCAACGGCATGTCCTAGATTCAAGACGTACGGTGTCGGACTGCATACTTACAGTCCTTGTTTGTATACTCTAATTTATTCACGACTTGACTTTTCAAAAGTCTTGACGAGTTGAACAACTTGACTCAACCTGACTAAGACTAAGACGACAGTAATGATGAAAAGGTAAATTATACACCGTGAAAAGANCACACTAGTTTTTAGCTAGTTATATCTTCTTAAGACTAAGACGAGTTGATCGCAACTTGACTATGGACATCACGAGTTCATTCAGGTCGTGAGAATTGGACATGGATACTTTCAGAAAGTGTCATCGTTTGTCGGTGTTATACTGTAARGCGACCGCGTCATTTTAAAAGTTCGCGCACATAATGGTCGTAAACGTATACWTTAAGCAAGTACTGCTTGGAGTAAATTAAATGGACAAAGTTAACAAAAAGTCAAACCTGTTTTCATCATCATGGCCCTTAATCTCACATCTTTGTTGCGAAGGCACTGTTTTCCACTTCTTCGCCAACTGCACCATCTTAAATGCATCCATAAYGCCRAACCCATAAAACTTGCTAACGGTTAAATTAGCTTTGTTCACCACCCAGTCTCCCCTCTCGAGTAGAATACCTCCTGGTGCTGATCTTGCACTTCTTACTATTATATGTTGCACGTCACGCCATGATAAGTGAGGACTACAAAACAAAGTGTAATTACTTTTAATATTTATCATTAAAAAAAGTTTWAAAAGGCTATAACACTGTTTTAGTATGTTAAAAAATGTTTAACTAACCTACTTCGGGAAGGAATACATAGTACCAATCCTGTTTAAACTCTAGTAAACTTACCGAACAAACCAGGAAGGACGTGGGATAGAGAAATCAAGAAAACRAGGTAGTTGGTGTGAATGGGGGATATATGATTTTTAAGTTCTCAGCATTCAAAACTTGTGAAAAAAACTTAAATATATTGCTGTTAACCAGTGATACAATACTTTCAGTGTACAGTTAACATGAAACAAGACCCTGGGACAGGGTATACTGGAATACCTGAGTATTCTGGTAGGGACGATCCAATAGCGTCCAATAATCTAGAGACGGTGTGAACATAAGTTGCTAAGTTTCAAAAGACAGTGATAGAGCTACTAATGTGTACAGTGGAAGCCATTTTGGACAAAACATTTATGCCAACCAACGTCAACGATTTCGATATATTGATGCTCATAAGGACCCTTCTCAAAATTATCTCGAATGCGCAGCTAATATGGAAAAAAAAAAAAAAAAGCCACAAATTCCATCGAGAAAAAGCATAATATCTTTTGTATTTTCATATTAACCTTGCATATCCCAGATACTTTAGAGAAGGTTCCAATCCTTTCTGGGATTTAGCATATGTAATTAGTTTTAATAAGTTGTGTGACGTCGCCCGGCTTCTAAAGAGACTACTGTTTTGCTTAGTTCTCGAATGCGCAGCTAATATGGAAAAAAAAGCGCCACAAATTCCATCGACAAAAAGCATAATATATTTTGTATTTTCATATTAACCTTGCATATCCCAGATAATTTAGAGAAGGTTCCAATCCTTTCTGGGATTTAGCATATGTAATTAGTTTTAATAAGTTGTGTGACGTCGCCCGGGTTCTAAAGAGACTACTGTTTTGCTAGTTTGGCTAGAAAAGTTAGTGAATCTTTAAGCTTCATTTCAAACGGTAAGACAGGCTTATTTTGCTCAAGAATTCCCTCGGAATTGCTTTCCCTTTTCTAATATTCTATGTTCTCCTATATTTTTTAATTTGTAGACATTTTCTAAAAAAATCTCATTGAACGAGTCAGCTAGAAGTCGAATATTTAAAAAAAATATGAGATGGATCTGAATGCAAATAAACTTCTACGTACCTCATGTTTATTCTTATTAGTCTTTAGAGCCAAAAATAATAATATGGCATCAATTGAAGCGCGTAGTACAGCGCTTCCCAATCACACGTGCAAAATCGTAGAATTTGCTGTTGCGACAAACCTTTGGTTGGACGTCAACCAAGGCGTTTTTACAACCCTCCATAGGCACATGCTCTTGAAAATTTTGTATTTTCCGACAATACCATTGAAACGCTTTGAATACCATCCACCAAAACTTATTTTCTTGAGGCAGTAAAGAGGACGACATTGCCCGTCTGATTGGGAAGCGCTGTAACATATAAATTGGCTTAGCATTGTACTGATCTTCAAWTACAGAGAATACCTGAAATAGCTGAATAAAAGCATGGCTAGTTWATACAAATAATCTATTGGCCATGATATTTGAAAAATTCTTAGAAATCCTGGCTTACGAATCCTTATGTACAAGTAAATTAATGTCTCGCCCGCCAGTCTTGAATGGTTAGCACTCGTTCACATGGAACAAAAGTAGCTATTGCATTATAAAACGATAGAACGACAGTATTACACTATATTTGTTMTAATGTTTGACACTCAAAGGTCCTTATGGTCCATGTGAACGAGTGCTTACCGTCTTGAATCAAAGAAATACAGCATGTCATTAATTTATGTCACGTGATCAGCTAGCTCCATCCTAGSTAACATRTTGACATCGATTGACAGCTAGCATATGCTAATTGCTTGGACTGTAGACAGAACCCCACAGCACATGCCTGCTAGGTTCTATTAATTGAGTGAAGACCCCTGGTAAGATTGCGCAATTCGTTCATWMCTTTTGTCGGACAGAAATTAGRRAAAAAAGGTATTTTACGACTTGTCTAACACATTTGTAAATTGTAAAAAAAAAATACAAAAACATCACTATTTACTTGTGGTTTACACGGAGGTTATAGTACATTTTTTCTCATAATGGCCAGCATTTAGTATCACAAGTTAAAATAAACTCAAATAACTTACATGACGTCAGAGTCATTAGCATATTTGAGGTTATAAACCTTCATGACCCCTAACTCAATATTTTCAGCATTGATTCTACACGAAGTTAAAAGTTAAATAATAAAATAATTTGATATGATTTGAGTGATGCATCTTGAAGATATCAAGGTTTACAGGGGCGGATCCAGAAATTTGTCAGGGGGGTGTCCCAAATGAAGAAATGTATATAATGTTATCGTAAGATAACTGTTCATATAACAGGCCTTTTGGAACAAGTAACACTTGAAAACAAGTTTGTTCTAGAAGCATCCATACATTTATTGTAACTGTGAAGTTTCGGTTTAAAATGTAGATTATATATCCATTTACACAATCATTACTCGTGCCTGGTGAAGCCGATGCGAGCCAGGTTTTAGTTGTGGTGTTCACTGTGCTAATACAAGAAGTACCTTACACGCACAATAAAGAAAACTCTTAGATATGGTAACAATTTGGGATGAATTTTATGGCTAATTAATGGTTAGCATTGGAACCATATGCAACTTGCAACTTCAAAACATATCATGTGCCGACTAGTCTTAGTTAGAAAATATGTTTTCAAGTTGAAGGCGTCGCTGATGCTTCCTCGCAAACGCTGTTACAATATCCTCAAAATCAATCAGCATGTCGTAATGCACATGCATCAGTGCCAAGCCTCTCTTGCCCCATAGTACTGCGAAGATAGGTCTTCAAGTAGGTGAGCTCAATATTTGCTCGTTCTGTCTCGCATGATGTAACACCAATTGTGCAAAGAATCTTCAGTAGAACGTAGGTGTTTGGATGGTCATTCCTGTTGCACGCCTTCAGAGATGCACTTGCCGTGGCTGGAATCGCAAGACCATCTTTGGAAGCTTTCTTCCACTTTCTTTCCCACAGGTCTAGTTCAATAGTCAGCCCAATTGGACTGGGGATATCTCCTTCGTATTTCTTGCAGAACTCAGCAACTTTATCCTGCAACCGATCAGGGCTTCTTACAATCACATGTGGAATCAAATAAAGGCCACATGAACAAACTTTCTTAATGCACGAAAAGCGGCTATCTAACTGTGTTAGAATTACGTCTATGTAAGGTATCGTCCGCGTTCTCCGGTAGTAGTCTTCTGGTGTGTCTGCAGGTGTGTTCTGCTTGTGTTGCTGATGTCCGCATCATCTTGGTATGGATAAATGTATTCCATTATTTGTGGACATTTCGCAAGCTTGCAAAACCATTCATGATATTTATCTCCTACTTTCGTTTGCACCTCCTTTAAGGAAAGGATGACATCATTCACGGAGTTATAAGCATGAATAACATCCTGCGCTTGTCTCTGCAGATTGACGCTGAGAGCCTTTGTGTATGCTATGAGGTTCTTCATAGTTACTAAGGTGACCATAAACTGAAAGTTTGTTATTGCAGCGTGAAGAGTTTGCGCCTCAATGTTTGTTTCCTGTTGTAAGTTTTGTCGACTGCCATATCGCTTAGCGATTGCTCTATAACAGGGTACAGCTCACATAACACTTCAAAACTGTCGGCGTTAGGGGGGTGTCCGGTGCACCAATGGACACCCCCCTGGATCCGCTCCTGGTTTATACTTCCAGTATGCTAATGAGTGTGATGTCATAGGAGGCATTATTAAATATACGAAAATTTATTGGGGTAGTAAAATATCCTGTACAAAACATAATTATCTTACTCAGGGTTTATAAAGAGGTTATTGCAATTTGTTTCCCCATAGTAATCAGTGTTTTGATTTAAAAATGATGACAAATAAACCCAAATGCCTACTATGACATCACACTCATTAGCATACTGGAAGTATGAACCTTGATATCTCCAAGATGCATAACTCAAATCATATAAAAATATTTTACTATTTTACTTTTAACTTCATGTAGAATCAATGCTGAAAATATTGAGTTAGGGGTCATAGGCACTTTAAAGACAGCACAAATCTGGAAAATTCAATATTTAACTATCATTTGAAAACTGAAAGTATGTTGTTAGGGGCAAGATTCACTTTCACCTATAACCTTTTAACTAATAAAAGGGCAAAACATCAACACAACAACACGAACACCCAATTTTTAAAATGAGCTCAGTCTTCAGAATGGAGAAAGCAAGAAAATGAGCCTTACTTTGCTTCAAGTGTTAACGCAACGAGACCAGACGCCATTGCTGTTGCGGCTGATGTTCCTCCAAAGTTATCAATACACCCATTATTGTTATCAGCAGTTATCTTAATGGTGAAGAAAAACAAAACAAAGGAAAAATAAGAGGTTATATTAATTGTGATATGCAATAGACGCTAATTGGAATGTACGAAACACTGTGCGACATTGCCGTCTAATGCTGAAAGTAAGGCGTGAAATGTCCTTGTTTTATGTAGTAAAGAGAACGGCTATGCCAAAAGCTCATCTTTGCTATTAATGTTCGTTTTAAGTAAAGCGCTCCCGAAACACGTCATTTCACTCAAAAACTGAGGTGCTTATTGAGTAAAATACAAGACAAACATGAAATAATACGTGATACACGAGTAGGCTGTAGTGCCATCCTGCAGCTTAAAATCCCTTATTTTGGAGGACGCGCCGCCATTGGTTGGAAGTGGTCATCACGAAGTTAACTCTTCTGTTACAAGAGGAAAACAACAACAGAGGCATGCACAGTGCATTGTGGAATCTTATTGTTACAATATTAGTCGTCTTTATATTCGGTACTTAGAATAGCTCACTCGATTTAAATGCTCAATGTAACTGGTCAGATGGGACAATCGTCAATATATTTTTCTTTAAATTTCTCCTTTTTTTAGTTTTTTATTTTGCCTGCCTGCCTGCCTGCCTGCCTGCCTGCCTGCCTGCCTGCCTGCCTTAACATTCGGTTAGTATTTGATAATGCGAATGTGCGAAATACCCCGAATCTGGCTTTCAGTCATTAGCGTTTTCCAGAACCTATCAATTCTCGTACCCAGAGCCTGCGTTTCTTCTGGCCTGCGGCGAAGAATGAGGGCCCTGGCATAATTCATTTTTTTAATTTAAAAAACTTGCGAAAAATCAAAAGAAAAAAAAATATATTTCCCGATTTCTAATTTGATTTCTGATTTTTTATTTTGATCGGAAATAAACGCAGAACTCTGATTGAAAGCATGGTTTTCATTGATTATATTTCACTTCCAGAAAACTGCGCATGCGCCAAAAAATGGATTATGCCAGAGCCCTCGTTCTTCACCGCAGATTATATCTCGTACCCAAAGCCTTTATTTGTTACTTCGCATGCTCGACGAAATAAAATAGGCTCCAATCTCGTAACCCAAGCCTGCGTTTTGTGTTAACTTACGGTAAAGATATGTAAGCTTAAGGTGGCTGCCTCCTTTTGAACGTTCGATTTAAGCCCACGATGTGCGCGCGCTCAAAAATCACTGAAAAATCTACAAGATTTTATGGTAGGCTTCATTGTTTACGTATTTCCGGTGACGTGACCATCCTGAAAACGAAGCTGGCCGTCACGCGGCCGTCAGTTTAGCCATCATTTTGTAAGCAAAGTGTTGCCCTTTAAAATGTGTATCTTGATATAATAAGCTAAATTTTTGAAGTTTTGTCACGATGGGTAAAACGTGTATTGTATTGGGTTGTACGAACAAAGATTCGGGGAAACATAGGAAAGAAAATGTGAAGTTTCATCGGATACCAAAAGAGGAGCCCAGGCGAAGCATGTGGATAAAAGCTATGAACAGACGAGAAGAAAACAACGGAAACTTATGGATTCCTTCTTCAGACAACGACAGAATTTGTAGTGAACATTTCGTTATAGGTAAGCTGATCATAATCGTAATTTTCCCCGTGTATTGGTGATACAGAGTACGCAAAAATAGTATAAAAATGTCTATCTATGTCTATTTATTTCGTGTACAGTTTACGAAAACAAAGTCTTATATTTTTATTTACATATATTATATTTATTTTTTTCAGATCGATTTATACATGATATTTGCTTGAAAAGATTAGCAGAGTTAAATATGGAAAAGAAGGAAATTTTAAGGGAGTTGGAACGTCTTCAAGAACAGATACAATCCTTGACTATAAACAACACGCCAAGAATGAGGGCCTCAACACTTGTGAATCTCTCCACGAATCCAAATGAATCTACTCTTTTCTATACTGGCCTACCATCTCATGATTGCTTTCTCTGGTTAAGTAGTTTCCTTGCAGATTCCTTCCCGTGATCAAATATTCTTGCCTCAGCTGATATTCTTCTTTTGGTTCTAATGAAACTTAGGCTAAATGCACCTCATAGGGATTTATCCTACCGCTTTGACATTTCTCCATCTCTGGTAAGTTCTCTATTAGACAGTGCTCTTCCTGTGTTTGCAAAGCAAATCCGTTTCTTCATTCACTGGCCAACGAGAGAGGAAGCAAGATGATCTCAGCCACAGTGTATCAAATATACCTACCCTAGCTGCATTTCTATAGTTGACTGCACTGAAGTTTTTATACAATGCCCAGCAAACTTCAATGCAGGATCTGCCACTTACATTAACTATAAGCATGCTAATACAATAAAGTTCTTGGTTAGCATTGCACCATCTGGTGGTGTATCATTCATATCACGTGCATATGGGGGAGAGGGCTTCAGATAAAGTCATCAGTTTAGAGTCAGGATATTTAGATTTTATTCAGCATGGAGACACTATCTTAGCTGATAGAGGTTTTTTAATTGTGGATGAAGTGTTGTCTAGAGGGGCAAAACCTGTCATTCCTGCATATCAGAAAGGAAAGGAGCATCTTAGTGCTAGAGAGGTGGAGAAGAGTAGGGGAATTGCTCACATTAGGATGCATGCGAAGAGAGCAATGGAAAGACTTAAGAACTTTCGAATTCTAACTGGAAAAATTAGCTTGAACATGGTTCCTCATGCTGACAGCATAATGACCATTTGTGCTGCAATTATGAATATGCATCCAAGACTAGTGAACTGAATAAGAAAACTGTTAGCACAACAGTTTTGCTGTATAGTGGATTTCTTATGATAAAGTACAAACACTATAAGTGTGCAACATAGTACAAAATGCTGCTAAACCATATAAATTCTAATAATGTCTTCTATGATTTATTAGATATTGAAAGTATTGCAAACTTTAACTGTTTTTACTCTTACACATACTGCATGTATAATATGTGTGAGCAATGCCAATGCAAAACCAAATAATACGTTTTCCATATGTAATAAATAGAAGAAAGTTATTATGAGCTAGAGCCAAGAATATGTTGATACATGTGATAAGAAAAACATTTTTGTAAAGCATTCTGGTAGTTGACATAGTAGAATGGTGATATCATAAGCAAAACACCTATTTGTATCATTGCAGATTCATCTTCACAGCATCATATGTCTATAATGTCATTCCTTTTTCTTCTTGCAACTAGGACAGAACCATTTGCCAACACACTTCCTCTTAACATTTACACATTGATAGTGAAACCATCCAATCTTACATTCCTCGTTACAATTCTGTTACTGTTGACTAACCCTTGGATGTTATCGACAGTGGTTGGTTTAATCTAAAACTGAAAAATTTGAATGAATTAGATATTCCAATTTGCTTATTTTTGATTAGATTTGTAAAAAAAACTGGGTGTGTGTGTAAATACCATATGTACCTCTTTTTTGAACACTTTATTTCATTTGCAAGCTTCACTGATCACAGATGTTTTATTGATTCCATATCTAATGCCCAGTTGTAGTGGTGGGTAATGTCATGCACCTGAGTGGTTGCACGCCTTTCGAATTGCTCAAGTTTTTTAGTTCATTTTTACAGTATTTTATCGTTTTATTTGTGTTT